TAAAATCTTTCGATCTCGAGATGGACTTCAGTTAACCTTGGGACCTCAAGAGTAAAATAAACGCACTAGCCCAATCCTCGAACATCACAGCAACCTACCCGCAAATTTGAAGGCAGCAAAGTGTTCAGGCTAAACATTCGCATCATTTTGAGATGGTGTTTTCCCAATAAGACAAGCTCTCTACATCCGCTTCTTTCGTTCCAAATTAATTTTTTTCTCGTTGGGTTATGTAAAATCTTCAACTGTAATAAATCACATTGACGACAGATTTTCCCGCCATTTTTGGGGTATTACCTCTCCCACGTTTTTGGGGTATTGCCTCTCCCACGTTTTGGGGGTATTGCCTCTCCCACGTTTTTGGGGTATTGCCTCTCCCACGTTTTTGGGGTATTGCCTCTCCCACGTTTTGGGGGTATTGCCTCTCCCACGTTTTTGGGGTATTGCCTCTCCCACGTTTTTGGGGTATTGCCTCTCCCACGTTTTTGGGGTATTGCCTCTCCCACGTTTTTGGGGTATTGCCTCTCCCACGTTTTGGGGGTATTGCCTCTCCCACGTTTTGGGGGTATTGCCTCTCCCACGTTTGAGAGTCTCCGCACCACGAAATATAATGTTACAACTTTTAAAAGTCGCTTTTCACGCTGTTTGATTTGTCTAGAGTCTTTTACGAGGGCAGACTACCACAAAAATGGCGGGTTTAGGCCTAATTTATGACACTTTCTTATATTTGATCAAATGTCAAATGACATCTTCGTTCACAGAGCTTCTCGTGGCAACGTAAAGGCTCGTTTACACCATAGAAATAATAGATATAGAAGTTTTAAATATTAACACGACAACTCGCAAGCGATAAAATTACTGTAAAACCATAAAAAAGCGAGAAAAAGGTTTATTTACTTACCGATAAAATGATTGTCTGCTTTCTTTGGCATCGCGGCTGTGTTTGTACCTACTGTACTGGTACAACCCAACGCTGAACACGTATTTGGCATATTCTTTGTTTTTTTTAGTAAAAACTAATTAAAACATCGTTTTCCAAAGGCAGATATAAAAAAATTTATGCGAAATAACAAATGAACTTGCACTCTTGGTCAAAATTCAACATGGCGGATTTCTAAGGGTACGCATGAGAAAAAGTGGAGACATGATTCGTGATCAAGTACGCATTCTATATCTCTTATTTCTATGGTTTACACTTGCAATTTTTGCTGCGATGTTGTTCTTCTGATGGTCGTGATGGATGTGAACGAGTAAATGAGTTATGAATGTTCTGAGTACATGTTCCTTCATGTGTGAACGAGTAAATGAGTTATGAATGTTCTGAGTACATGTTCCTTCATGTGTGAACGAGTAAATGAGTTCTGAATGTTCTGAGTTCATGTTCCTTCATGTGTGAACGAGTAAATGAGTTATGAATGTTCTGAGTACATGTTCCTTCATGTGTGAACGAGTAAATGAGTTCTGAATGTTCTGAGTACATGTTCCTTCATGTGTGAACGAGTAAATGAGTTCTGAATGTTCTGAGTATATGTTCCTTCATGTGTGAACGAGTAAATGAGTTCTGAATGTTCTGAGTATATGTTCCTTCATGTGTGAACGAGTAAATGAGTTCTGAATGTTCTGAGTACATGTTCCTTCATGTGTGAACGAGTAAATGAGTTATGAATGTTCTGAGTACATGTTCCTTCATGTTGTGAACGAGTAAATGAGTTCTGAATGTTCTGAGTACATGTTCCTTCATGTGTGAACGAGTAAATGAGTTCTGAATGTTCTGAGTATATGTTCCTTCATGTGTGAACGAGTAAATGAGTTCTGAATGTTCTGAGTATATGTTCCTTCATGTGTGAACGAGTAAATGAGTTCTGAATGTTCTGAGTATATGTTCCTTCATGTGTGAACGAGTAAATGAGTTCTGAATGTTCTGAGTACATGTTCCTTCATGTGTGAACGAGTAAATGAGTTCTGAATGTTCTGAGTACATGTTCCTTCATGTGTGAACGAGTAAATGAGTTCTGAATGTTCTGAGTACATGTTCCTTCATGTGTGAACGAGTAAATGAGTTCTGAATGTTCTGAGTACATGTTCCTTCATGTGTGAACGAGTAAATGAGTTCTGAATGTTCTGAGTACATGTTCCTTCATGTGTGAACGAGTAAATGAGTTCTGAATGTTCTGAGTACATGTTCCTTCATGTGTGAACGAGTAAATGAGTTCTGAATGTTCTGAGTATATGTTCCTTCATGTGTGAACGAGTAAATGAGTTCTGAATGTTCTGAGTACATGTTCCTTCATGTGTGAACGAGTAAATGAGTTCTGAATGTTCTGAGTATATGTTCCTTCATGTGTGAACGAGTAAATGAGTTCTGAATGTTCTGAGTATATGTTCCTTCATGTGTGAACGAGTAAATGAGTTCTGAATGTTCTGAGTATATGTTCCTTCATGTGTGAACGAGTAAATGAGTTCTGAATGTTCTGAGTATATGTTCCTTCATGTGTGAACGAGTAAATGAGTTCTGAATGTTCTGAGTATATGTTCCTTCATGTGTGAACGAGTAAATGA